TCCAGTTGTTTCATAAATATGTTAGTTGTGGAAACTATGACATGACATTTGCCCACTTATTCATACTGTTAATTACTCAGTTTCCTATATTTATTTATATTGTCTGGGGAGCTCTGTATTAACTCCACTTTAATAGAACACAACAGGTTATCAGGTCAGCTTGCTTTTAACTCTGGCTCAAAAGAAGGAAGCTCAGCAATGTTTTCAGCCATTTGAATTCCAGCTATCGAATAAAAGAGAAGCAAGCCATAAAGGAAAGTCTGGGACACCACCTAAAGAGCTAAAACCCTAGAATCCTGCTTTCAATTTGAAATCAGTAACCAAAGTGTTTCAAAGAATACCCTACATTTCTCCAGTAAAATAGTAAAGGAGAGGGATCAACACACTTTGGGTTGATGAAACAATTTCAGTTGAGCATGAAAATCTTCCCAATTTGTCCAGGGACAGTTCCAACACTAAGTGAAGAGATGATATTCAGAGCTGCCCCTTCTTAGTACCACGGGCTTTCATAATTTGGCTAAGAGATAAAGAGAGGAAGGCCACCCAAACTGGACAGAGCGGTGCTTGCCTGTAATTCTGAGCTGGGGAGGCTGAAATAGGATTGCTATGAGTGTGAGCTACAGAGAGAGGCCCTGTACCAAATACATAAATTTTTTTAAAAAAAGATTTTCCTTCTCAATAAAAGAGGAAATATATCTCCTGAGACCCAGCTTTCAACTTCATATTGCTGCCCAATTGATTTTTATGCCCCAGAGCAAGCCAATTCTTATTGCCTCTAACTTCTGGGCCTGATATAGTGGAAGACACCAACAGAGGTCTGAAGCAGCTATTCTTGGGTGATCTCATGCACCGAAACAGATTTCCGCTCTACAAGTAGCATAATAATGTTGGAGTTGACTGTTTCATGCATTTGAAAATCCCACATAAAGCCATTCCAAAATGTCAATAAAGTGTAAACTTCTTTATGATTAAAAATGTACTTATTATTCTCAGTAATGCCTGATATTGTTTCTGTTCTTCAAATATTCCCACATCATCATGATGATTAGTCTCCCTTCTTTTATACCCTTTTAAGAAATTTTAGATGTGCTTAATTCTTTTCCTTGCTGTAACATTTTAATTTACTTTAGTGTGTCATTATAGATAACTTTTCAGTTTCAGTACCTTGTACATTCTAGACACTCTTCTATGTATTGTCAGTAAAAAGATGAATAAAATACATTGAATCAGAGGAAAAAAAAATTGCCACTTGAGCTGCAAATCTTCACCTCATTCACTTCAAGGTACTGAGAGATTGACTTCAAAAGGCAGGGTGAGTTCTTTCAAGCTAAATGTCAATGATGTTCATTACTAAGTGAGAACATAATCGAAAACACTTGCTACTAATGTGTGATATATTCTCCTATTACAGAATGTCTTTTTAACACATTTTAATTTCTCAGGAAATAAACCCACTTCCCATGTTTCAAAAGAGGCTGAATATTTCCAGATTACCTTCAGCAAATTTACTTAATTTCCTTCAGCATTTCTACTGTCTTCAGCAATCAATATTTGCATCCTCTAGATATTGAACAGAAGTTTAAAGCCTAGAGAAGAGGTTCTTTCAGTCAAATAAAATATTAGAAAAAATTTGCTCTCAATTTTAAGTTTAGATTGAACCTGGAAATTAGCATCTTCAAATAGAGATGAAAGACCAACATTTTGGTGCTATCTTTGGACTGATTTGGGAGTGTTGGTGAAAACATCTATCCTTCACTCAACCTGTGGCACTTTTCCAAAAAGATATTATTAAGTACTGTCATAGGCAAGGTGTAATTAAAGAAATGTTTTAGAATTATTTATTTATTTATTTATTTATTTATTTATTTATTTATTTTGCGGAACCAGGGATTGAACTCAGGCCCTTGCGCTTGCCAGGGAAGCGCTTATTCCACTGAGCCATCTCCCTGGCCCCTAGTATTTAATTAACACTGAAACTTCTCAGTCTACTTTCTTTAGTGAACATACAGATCAATGGAAGAAATTTGGTAGCCAAGATATTTTATGATAACCAAGTAAAATGTATATGTATTTCTCTGAAGAAATTTTAAGTCTCTAAAGTACCAAGTATGGATTTATACATAATGAATGGGTGTGGTAAGGGGAGTGTTTAACATAAGTAGTTTAAAACAATAAAGAATATCTCAGGAAAAAATAAACAATAAATGAGTGTTTGGGGGTATGAGAGGAATGGAAAGAAAGGGCAAAGGAATCCCTGCTTGCTATGTTGCTTATAAAGTGCTATTATGAGACAAACAAGAGTCTTACTATGCACAGATTACATAATTTATTGGGAGTTTTCAGACTTCTGTGTTCAACAGTGCTGATAATGGCACTAATAGTTTAATTACAACTTGCAGCTCAAGGAGATAAACAAGGCTGTTTGCTTTCTAAAATCAGAGGTTACAATTACTTTTAAACACGGGGGAAAAGAACATCTGGGAGTGCATCTTACTTTGATAGGAAAGCAACCAGAAACCAGCTGGAAAACAGACAAAGCCCCAGGAGTAAGCAGCCGGTGCAAAATTAGAGCAAAAGAATGTCTGATTAGAGCGGTGGAGCAGTGGGCACCAGGCAGAGTAAACAGGCGGCAAATAGAGGTGGGCAGGGATAGAAGAGTTGCTGTTGTCCACATCGCCTGCATGTTCCCTGGGACATGTAGAGATCCCAGTAGAGAGGCCCTGAGCACCACTCGCTTCTCTTCACTTCAGCACTACAGAGGGAGGACAGCTCCCAACCCACAGGAAAGAGCTCCAGGAGACAGACCTTTCCTGCTCCACCAAGGAACACCTTTTTCTGTCTTGTCCTTTTGTATTTAGGGATTTTTCAAAGAGACATACAGAAAGCATTGAATACTTGTCCAGCTTATTTCCAGATGAGAGGGTGACAAGTCCTGCCTGAATTCATGTTTTCATTGGACTCCAGAGCAATTTAACCATAGTAAAACATTACACGTTATTGGGTTAAATCTGTTGGCAAAGTGGTTCAAAGTAATTGAATAGTAGCTGAAACTTGAAATTCTCATTTAGCTCCTTATTTTATTGTGTTGTTACAAAAGTACTAGTGCAAGTTAAAATAAAAACCTTACTGACTGCTGCTTTAGCTCTTTTTCTTCTGTACAAAGGCAAAGAACTGAAAAAACATAGTAGAGTTTATTATCAAGGGGCCCAGCGGAGTAATTCTTAACATTACTGAGTTGGAAAAATGATCTTTGCCCCAAAAGAAGTTCTTCTCATCCCTTAAAAGATACCCTGTGACCATCTGCTTAAACTGAAATAGAGAAGCAAGACATTCTCAATTCTCAGATCTGAGATGAGTACCAGGGGCTGCTACAACATGCACAAAACCTGCTCAAAGTTTCCCTAGGGAAGTTCTCTTTTCTCCAGCCCCAAACTCAAAGTTAAGCATTTCAGAAGTAATGGGATGCATATGATTTTAAAAAAATCACCAAGACAGGAAAACCACACACCCATCAAACTGAGGACTCTGGCACACTCAGTTCCCATTCTTCCATCCTTGGAAATGTGCTCACTTAGCAGTGCCTCTTCCTTCCTGCCCAATAATCTCTTTCGTCCAAACTCCTCAACAGGACATAAACTGCTCTTCATTTTCAGGGTTTCTTTACTCCAATACATGTATGCACACAGGTGTGTGTAACCATGTGCGTGCACACACACACACACACACACACACATTTTATTTGGCTCAGTTTCACTTTCAATGATTTAGTTTCCTAAAGAAAAAAAGTATAGTTTTCTTTTAAAAACTTATTTTCTAAGCAGGCAGCTAAAAGCCCTAGGATTGCACTAGAGTTTCTAGAATAATAAGAGACTTTGTAGAGGAAGGGACAGGAGCTAGGTTTGAGGCTTAGTAGTCCTAGGCATAGGCAGCACCAGTTTAGTGGTGAGCAACTTCCTCCCTGGTCTAGGGTAGCTTCATCAGAAGGGAGTTAGGAGCAGCAGTGGCAGCGGGAACAGTAGACTCTGGCATTTCTTATTTGGTAACTGGACGTTAACTCAACTGAGGGACTCTTCAGTTTTCCTTTTTTATCCTTCTCTCTGAAATTTCCCTTCCTTTTCCTCCATCCTTTCCACCTTTCCTTCCTTCCTTCCTTCCTTCCTTCCTTCCTTCCTTCCTTTCTTCCATCTTTCCTTGCTTTGCCTTCCCTTCCTTTTTTAGCCTTCTTCCTTTTTCCCCTCCTTCCTTTCTTCCTTCCCTCTCCCTCCATCAATCCCAGTTTTCTTTCTATTCTCTCCTTTTTCCCTCCTTCCTCTACCTCCTCTCTCTTTTCACTCAATTCTTTCTGGGCCACTTTCAGCACTAGTTCTAATGACAGCAACGAGTCGCCTGACCTGGGTCCTATAGACTAGGCTTTTATAGGTCGAGCATCACCACACACACCTCCTCTCCAACTGCTCAGAGCAAGCAAAGATTCCCTTCCCGGCGGCGGCCCCGCCCCTCTCTCCACTCCAACGTTGCAGCCTGCCAGCTGGGCGGCATTCTCCATCCAAATCACCAGAGTCTGAATGTCACCAACAAGTTCCACCCTGTAGTAGCCGAGCTGCCAGCCTCCCCCACCAGACCCTCCGCCCACAGCAGGCACACCAGGCGCTGGGGGATTCCTAGGATCATTGTTAGCACAGATAACACTTTCTTTTTTTCCTGGAGAGGAAAAGCCCGAGTGTGACTCCTGGACGGGTGTAGGACTCCACGCGTCACCCTCCCCCACCTCCTCAACGCATGTACACACACACACACACACACACACACACACACACACGCACACACACACACGCGCGTGCACGCCCTCCACACAAAGAGAGGCAGCAACCCAGCCGGTGGTCAGGGACGGAGGGTATCTGGGGAGGGGACCTCGCAGGGGCGGGGGCTGAGCCTGCCCGAGCAGCGCGGGAGGGAAGAAGCGTGGAGGCGAGCAGAGCCGGCGCGAGGGGCGTCCTTACCTGCCCCCAGGTTGAAGGAGATCCTGGCCTCTGCGAGGTACGGAGTGTCGCTCTTGGAGCGCACTCTCCGGATGGGCCGCCGGTCTATGTCATCTTCCGAAGATGCCGCCATTAATGTGGGAGGCAGGAGCAGGGTCGCCCGGCGAGCTGCGAGCAAGAGGACAGACAGAGGGAGGGAGGGAGGCCGGCGGAAAAGGGGAGGAGGGGAAAGGAAGAGGCGCACACATGGGAAGGGGGATGGGAGAGGAAAGGAAAGGGGACGGGGAGGGAGGGGAAAAGAGGGAAAAGGGAAAAAAGAGGGAGAAAGAAAGAGAGAGCAAAGGAGAGAAAGGGGTGAAGGGAGAGAAAGAAAACCCGTTAAGGATTTGTGGACTGGAGCAAAGATCAGGCTATCCCTGGCTTGTGCCTGGGGCTCCCCCTAACCCCACTCCCTGCACAGCACCAAGGGGTCAGTGCTCAGGACGACACCCCGCCTCCTGCCCGCAGCCGGGCTTCAGCTGTTGGCACAGATAGCCTAATGCGAAAAGGAAGACTGCACAGCAAAGATGCCCAGTCAGCACTGTGTCCTCCCCTCCAGAGCGCTCATTCTGCTTTTCAAGTGCATGCTAAGGTCTCTTTATTCATGGCATTCACAGGTCTGGGGCTGGCAGGCGCAGAGCTGCAGTCTCAGTGCTCCCTGCGTGCAGTAGTTCTACTTGGGATGCAGACTCCAAGCTGCAAACCCTACAAGCTTGCTCCTGCAGGAGGATGCTGTGGCCAGGAAAGCGCTCTTCCTAATCTCTCCCAACCAAAAACTCAGATAGAGACAGATCTGAGACTCTCCGAAGCTCTTTATCTGCCCCACAACTTCAAGTGGAGGAGTGGAGAGAAAGTATACTCAAGTTTGGAAGCGGTTTGGCAGCAAGATTTCCAGAAATGATCTTTTTTTGCATGTAAACTTGGCATTGTCACACAGAAGTGGGTTGCCCTCCATGCAACTACCAACTTCTAGGATGTATTTATCTCTACGTCAACACTCGTTCAGTTTACCCTCTAACTTTCTATTTGGTCATGTACAGCACAGATGACAGTCTTCGGAGCGGACCTGCAGTCTGTGCCATCCCGTGTCACTGTTTCTGAAGGAGAGGTGCAGATCAAGGGGTTTTTCATCCTTTGAACACTCACGCTGCTGCCCTGCATCACGGCTCACCACACAGCAGCAGCAGCAGAAGGGTTGCTAGGTGAGAGTCGGAATGGTCTGATGCTTCCTCTGGACCTATTGATGGGCTCAGCTCTTTCATGTTTGTCTTTCTGTAACTTCTGCCACTTGGTCGCTTTTGTGCCCTGATGTGGGCACTCCTCTATCTAATGAGTGCTCCCCTGGAGAAGAGATAACCTTACACCTTGGTTGCCTCTGGTGCAAAGGAAGTCTCGGCGAGGGGGTTGTGCCCTTCAGAGTTAAAGGAAGGAGGGCCACGTGGACTCTGCGAGCTGCCTTCCTGCCTCAGCTGTTGATTCTCTTTCCTGTCCTATTCCTCATCCTAGAAGCCTCACTGGCCTTCTGCATTCACATATGAGCAGAAGTCCTGTCTGCCTTTGACCTTACAGTTTCCTCGCTGTCTACCACACTTACTTCCCTGCATTCTATTCAACCTTCCCATGGGACTGTAGGAGCCCCTGCTTCTAATTTTTACTCTCCATTCCCTTCTTTCCACCCAGCACTGGTTTCTATTCTTATCTTTCCAGGAAGACTGTTTTAAGGGCTGGTAAGATAGCTCAGCGGACTAAGCGCCTGCTTGGAAAACGCAGGGACCAGGGTTTGTTCTCTGGTCCTGCATGCTGCACTGGGCCTGCCACCGGGGCATGCTGAGCCAGCAACTGAGTCTGGATGTGGTGAGGCATGCCTGTAATCCCAGCACTGGGGAGGCTGAAAACAGGAGAATCACTCGGAATCCGAGTTGTGCAGTGAGACCCTCTACCAAATACATAAATGCAAAAAGAAAAAAAAACCCATTTCAAAATGTCATTGTCTTTCTAACAGTGAGATTCACCCCTTTCTTGGTTTCTCTGAAGTAATTAGCAAGCTATCTCTCTTGAAAGCTGTCCCTTGTTTTTGCCTCCCAATCCTGGACTGCCTCCCTAGCCACTTGAGGTCCAATTTTTAGTTCTAATCTGAAACTGTCTTGACGTTCAGGGCTCTTGGCCCTCTGACTTCAATTGGTGCTTAAATCTCATCGCCCTCTGTTATCTGCCTTAGTCTACTGGGAATCAGTCCAAGTGTGGCTTGTTTCAGCATCTGCACCTGTGCTCATGTGGATGCATGATAAGAGTGTGTTGTTAACTTTTCATGTGCTCCTGAAGAATGTATCCAGGACATCAACTCAGCACACAGCAAGTGCTCCGGTGATATTTTTGAGTAAGAAAATGAGGGATGCAGGAGGAGGTGCATGGAGAGTAGAGAGAGAGAAGCAAGGCTAAATAACTAGTGAGTAGCTAAATTGGGAACCAAGTCCGTGTCTGCCTGATTTCAGGTCCCATGCTCTTAGCAAGCAGTCAATAGCCACAGGGGATTGGCTTCAGGGCATCTCTCCAACCATCATAGATACTAAAATCCTCAAGTTTTCAAATCCCTTATGTAAAATAGTATAATAATATTCACATAGAATTTATACACATCTTCTTACACACATTAACTCATCATTAGATATATGTAACTCTTATAATGTGATGCAGAAATAATTGGTATGTTGTATTGTTTAGGGACTGATGAGAACAACAAAACATTTGTACATATTTGATGCAGATGTACTTTTTAAAATGCTATTTCTATTCATTTTGTGTATGTGGAACCCTAGGATTGTGTATTGGCTGTATTGACCTTGTAAGTGCATATGTCTGATGTACTGGCCACATTTTAAATTCACTTTTCTATAACATCAGCCTTACCACTCTATCATGTTTATTTTCTGTTAAACATAGATTAAAAATAGGTCCTTCTATTCCAAGAGACAACAAGATGGACCTTTGGCTTATCAAATGAACTATGAAAGTGAATATTTTTACATGCTAATCAGGTTATAAACCAACAGTAAAACTGTAATGTCTAGGTTTAGGTTCTTAATAGAGTACAAAAGGTATGGAAATAAACTCAAACAATTGTATAAACTGTAGCTCCATTGAAATAATGCACTGTGATTTGTTCAGAATGTTTGGAATTTCCATTTCTTTGTATTTTGATTCATTAGCCAGGTTTGCTACAATCATTTGCAGGTGTAGTTAGCCTTACCTTTCCTAGTGTTTTTCTGATTTTATACATCAATGGTTTTGATATAGAAACATGTATCTTTGAATCAGTCTTCTTATTCATTTAACACTGTAGAGGATTAATATTATGATTTATATCTAGATGTCCCTCCAAAAGCCCATGAAGTCATAAGTGGAACTTTGGGGAATGATCAGACTACGGAGGCATGATGAGTTCAAAACTAACATGATATTGGGAGGTGAAGCCCTTTCACTGGGGCACTGGGGGTGTGGCCTGCGATGGCATCTCTGGATCCCTTCTCTCTTGGTCCCTCTCTACATCCTGTCTGCCAGGTCAAGAGCTCTGTCTTCTGTTAGTCCCTTCTGCCTTCCACCTAGCCTTGGAGTCAGCTAACTATGGACTGAAACCTTTACATGCTGAGACCCTGATATCCTAAGTTGCAACAGGTATTATGTCTCAGTGATGAGAATGTGATGGACACACCCAGCAACTCACTATTTTCACCACTTTAGCTTTATCCCTCTTCAGAGGTTTAAATATACTTTTATACTATTTCATCATGAACCATTACATTACTGAAGTAATTCTAGAAAGATCTACTTTTAACAAAAGTGGACATAAAATACTTCATCATTTCTTATGCTCTTGAATTCTTTTATTATATTTCATTCCTGATTGCTATCTCTACTGCTGATTTCGCTAGTTCATTTTGTCTTACTATTAATTTTTGATTCTCTTTTCACTTTGCCCTCTTTCTTACATCTGTCTATCACTCTTTCTACCAATCTTTTCACAAAATGTTTTCCCATACCCCACTCTTATTCTATGTGAAGGTCTCTAGTTTGTGGATTTATCACAACATTTCCACAGTCTTGTGGATATTTCTTTTATGTTCATGACCTCATATTATGAAATGCTTGATGACATCAGGTAAAGAACATGGGAGTGGGAGTCAGGGGTGGTGGGTGTTGTCCTAGTATCACTTGGCCGTCACCACTGAACAAGCCACTCTTCTCGGATGAACTCACACCTATAAAAAATGCAGGGTCAGAGGACATAATCTTAAAGGCCCCACCTAGTCCCAACTCTATAGTCATCTGTAGCTATTCTTATATGTCTACTCCTTTCTGTAGCATGTCTATGGAGCCTTGTATCTCTTAATCTAAAAACACACAATTTTTCTTTTGATTGATCACTAGATGCATGAAATTTGTACTTCTATTAAGTATTTCATATTATCTAAGTCTATTTTATGAGACTTTTAATCCTCCAAAATACTTATTTTCTACATACTTATTCCATCATACGATAAAACCCATACGATTGCTTGTGTTTGAAAGGATTAAGGTCAACATCGACCTCAGTGATTTACAAATACAGTGTTTGGAAAAACTTTGCTTCTTTCTAAAATATGACTGCTTGTATAGGAAGACACTTTTTTTTTCTTTTGCAAAGCCAGTTAAAATTTAAAACTTCAGGCTCTATATACATATTTCCAGAGCTAGAACCCATACAAGCGAAGTATCACAATGTGGGACTCAGAGCGTATTTTAGGGCCAGGGAGATAGCTCAGCAGCACAGCACCTCCCTGGCAAGCATAAAGTCCTGAGTTCAATTCCTGGTACTAAAAGAAAATGTTTTTACCTATCTAGGACTGTGTGGAAGAGATTAGAGGTGACAAAAGGAGTAAAAATAAGGGTGCACTATTCCAAACTTATTAAGAAAATCTGCTGGTGAGTAAATCGTATCCCCTAAAATATTGCTTAATGTGCATTTCCAGGATATCATTACATCAGAGTTACTTGGAATATGTGTAAAATGTGGATTTTTTAGGTTCCCAATCTAAGCCTACAGAGTCAGAATTTCAGGGATGAGACCCAAGCACTGAGATTTTCAAGTCTCC